CTGTTGAAAATTGTAGCCTTTAGTCGCCAAAAATATCTTTTTAAGTTAGCCTAATTAGAAAATATTCTAATGATTATAATATTAGTATGATAATGCTGAAGTTTAAAGGCTGAAAGAAAGAACTCGGTACATGTGAAATACTGCAAAAGATATGATGCAATAATATGATGGCGCGTTTTCTCAATCTGCGGCGTAAAAATATATCGGAAGCAGTAACCCGGAAGTCTGGAAAGAGCAATTTTACCACTAGCGCCGCCACCCTTAGCTTTACACGATCACCCATCCATATGGTCTCCACTCCTAGGATTTAATGTCTTCTGTCGCTCACCAACTCCACGCCAGTTTTTATTCGTTATCTATTATTCGCCTTGCTTGCACATTTTGCAAAGTAATTATTAAATATTTTGCTTTCATGCTTTATTTTCAATATATTAAGAGTCCACACAAACCCTGCTCGCTATCACTCACCAATCCAAGGAATTTTGTGAAATCGTTGTCAGATGGCTTCGTTTCATCATTTCACCTCGCTAACCAGCATAATTACAGATAGAGATACAACCAATAGATAAAGCGGCGTAGGAAGAAAAAAAGCAAGATATTGGTGTTGATTGATATTTGTTCCCTTCATTTGGATTTTATACTTTAAGTCATAGAATTTTGCCTTTCCTCTCAAATGAAAATATGGGCGTTTTGCCAAATACTGAAGGTAACTTTAAAAATGCATCTAAAAGAGAATAATCTGGAGGAGAGTTTTAAATTATCTTCTTCTTCTTCATAAGCGCAACAGCCTTTCACAGGCCAAGCCTGACTCGCAGATTTTCCTCCATCTGGCCCTGTCTGGTGCGACGGCCCGCCATCGGTTGACTCCCAATAGCATGAGGTCCTTTTCAACGTCGTCTATCCATCTTGTATGTGGTCGTCCCCTACGTCTCGTCCCTTCAATTGTGGAAAAAGTCACTTCTTTGGCAAGGACGGCATCAGAATTTCTGAAGAGGTGGCCCAGCCACCCAATGCGTGATGCTTTAATAGTTCTCACAATGTTTATCTATAGTCAACATAAATATTAACATTGAGCCCCCTAGTTAGAATAATCTATAAATTTTTTTTTAATGATATCGCCCTGTTATTATCCATAAAGGGAAATATATATATAAAGCAAAATAAATAAATACAAAAAAATGAAGAAAATTAAGAAAAACAATAAGTTTCATTTATTGCAAGTAAATAGAACTCATAAAATAAGTTCAAAATGAAGATAAAACAAAGGAAAATTACAGACATATGAAAAAAGGGGGAAAAAGAAAACTAATAATAAGAATAAAAATATCAAAAAACTGAAACAAAATGATAATAATAAAAATCCGAAAAAAAGGATAATTTTTTTTTTAAAAAATCTGGAAAATAAAAGATATAATCTTTTTATCAGCTCAAAAAACTGAAAAAAAAAATGATAATAATAAAAATATCAAAAAACTGAAAAAAAAAAATAATAATAAAAATCCGAAAAAAAGGATAATTTTCTTTTTTTTTTAAAAATCTGGAAAATAAAAGATATCTTTTATTTTCCAGATTTTAAATTTTTTTTTAATCCTTTTTATTATTATTTTTTTTCAAGTTTTCTGTTATTTTCATTATTATTTTTCGTTTTCCCCTTTTTTTCATATGTCTGTAATTTTCCTTTGTTTTATCTTCATTTTGAATACATATAAATAGCTCAAAGGACCAAAATTTGAAAAAAAAAAAAAAAAATGCTTAAATTANTCTCAAAGGGCCAAAATTTGAAATAAAAAAAATGCTTAAATTAAAAAAGTCTTAGACTTTGTTGATCGGCTTATAGTCATGTTTAAAAGTAGTTGTTTCTTAAGAAAAGAATAATATCCGTACAACGTTTTATAATTACATAGCTTCAACAGCAACTAAGTTAAATTGTATTAAAACGAAGAAAGTGTAATGAATATATTATTGCTAAAAATAGGTTACTTTTTAAGCGCGAATGCAAGCTGATGTACGAAAACCATGATTTTTAAAATATATTAATTCTACAGCATTTTAGCTAAATTTATATAATTTTTGACCCATTGAGACTACAGAATATGTTACTTCTGAGATTTAAATATTTTGCACCTTTATTAAGGATGGATATTTTCTCCAATAGCCCGCTTTAAGGTTTCAGAATAACATTACCCCAAATATCTTTCCCAGCCAACAGCAAGGTTAAAAGATAGTATAGCAATTATCTTAATTAATTTATTTTATAGTAAATTTTATTTAATAATAGGACAACTAGAAATTGTCTTCATATATGCTGAGCGGATTTTGCTTCCGAGATTTCTGAACTAGGAGTGTTTTCTGGGGTGAGGAAGTTAGCTCCATGGCCAACCTTCTTAGGATAAATTTGAGGAAAATAGATTGCTTATTTTTGAAAGAAAGATTCTTTGGTCAATTATAGGAAACCATTAAAGTAAATAACATTTTAAAAAGTTTACATAATTTTGAAATATACAAAAAATATAAGCAAAATAAAATTTTCTGAGTTAAGTTTTATAGGAAGATTCAGATGGCTAGGACACATTCTTTGACGTGAAGATCTCGATCTAGTAAAAAAAGTGACATTCTCAACGATCGAGGGTGCAAGAAGAGGTAGACCACCTTATGAGGTAACTGGACAGCGTAGAGAAGGATTTGGGAGTGAATAGTGGGAAACACTTGCATTAATTGTATTGCCTATAAGACATCTGAAAAAGTCCTAGCCTGCACTGGGCTGTAGTGCTGATAGAAAAGAAGAAAATTCGTCGACTAAGTTATAATTTAAAATTATGATGAATGAAAAAATTTGTCATACATATTTATAAGTATAATTCAAATAATTAAAGTTTAGATTTTATTATGAAACTCAAAGTTAGGTTAAATAGGCATTCATGAATTTAATAGTTGAAGTATTTAATTTTAACATAAGCAGGAAACATTTTTACCAGAAATAAGAATGGAATGCATCTGAAATTACAGTATATAATAAAAAACTATTTTCCCGAAGGCAAACAATTTTTTAAACAAAAATTATAAATAACACTGCACTCATTTTTTTAAAAATTGTTAAAATATAATTAACATTGCACTTTTATTGTTGGCATAAAAAATTCGTGGGGAAATTGTGAATGTTTGTGAGCATGCAGGGAATGTTGTTTAAATGATGCTTCAATTTTTTTGGTTCACCTTAATTCAGGGCTCGAAAAACCACCCGTCCACTGCTGTCAAAAATTCCCAGCGGACAACAAATTTCTCGAATCCGACGTCCGCATGGACGGCCATTTTCCCCTTAATGTTCGAGATACATTTTCAATTTTTGTTATCTTACAATCTTTTTTGAAGGAGTAGATAAAGAAAACTTTTCTCAAGAATGGGTGTCATTAAAATTTAAGATACATAACATCGCTAAACACCAGAAAACTTCAGCCCTCAGAACCCCAAGCTATTTATAAAGACCTAATGCAGCAAAATGACCCACACAGCAACATACTGCGCATGGTGGAATTGATAAACAAGAAGCGTTAAACGCAATTATGAAAATCTACCTAATGGAAAACCGTTTCAGATTTCTGTGCAGAAACCTCTGTAAATCATTGGCTTGTTTGTGAAACTGGCAAACGTCATATTTGATTCATTTAAATAACGCAGTACCCTCGGATAAATTGACATTCCAGATAACTTGATCTTTGTCATTTAAATTATTTCATAAAAGAAATACTAGGTAACTATTAGTAACCCAGTATTTCTTTTATTACTGTATAATGTAATCCCAGTAACTATTAATTCATTGTGCAATTTATATAAATGTTTGTAATAAATAAGGGAAAATTATATTTTTATTTATTTAGAAGCTACGGGTTAGTTTCAAAGGAGGACGGGTACATTGTTGGACAAGCCGTCCTCTGGGACGGGAAAAATTTCTGAGTTTTTTTCGAGCCATGCCTTAATCTAAATATTTCTTAATACATAACAAAGAGTAAATCACAGTGTCAATAAACAATCAAAAATATTAAAAT